GAGGTCAGAGGAGGTCTCAGGAGGTCAGAAGAGGTCAGAGGAGGTCTCAGGAGGTAAAACCTGTAAAAACTGTTTCAATGATGCTGTGGTTTGTTTGTTGGAGGAATAATTTATCGAGAAATAAAATCTTGTTTCACGTTTTAAACCGTCACGTTGAAGATGCTCCTCGTCACCTCCTTCTGTAGAACTAGCTGTGTGAGTGTTGTCATTTAATTTAAACCTATAATCAAACTTTACATCCTCCTTCTTCTGCCTTGTGTAAAATCAGATGTTATGCAGCTGCTGCCATCTGCAGGCCCTCAGTGGTACTGCTCCAGTGTAACATCAGGCCTGTGTTTAAATTCACCTGAAACTTGAGCAGTGAACAAACATCTGGATTCTGATGACGCGCTTCCTTCAGGTTCACATGTCCTGGTGTAATGAAGGTCGGGTAATTACTTGAGAAGATGATTCATAGATTCATTGATCATCAAAACTAACCTTGGTTTGATCGATATGTCAACTGAAGTGACGTCAGTGGTTCAGATGTTTCTCATGTGAGGAGAAAAATAAACGTAACGTGGACTCGGAGTAACATCAACACATGTTAATAAACTTTGTTTTTGTTGTGACTCACCTCAGTTTGGACGAGTCGTCCTCCGTCCGTCGTCCATCAGGTAATAATCCAAACATGAACACGTGACCATGTGACCTTCACAGAGAAAACCCGTCCGTTGTTTTTATTCCATCAGTTCATTCTCAGAGATTCCTGTTAATTTCAGCAGGAAGCTTCGTCCCTGGAGTCCAGATGTGTCCAGATGAGGAAACCTCCCATTCAACATGTGACCTGTTGTTTGTTTGTTTGCTTGTTTGCTGTTAATTAGATTCTAATCAAACAGAAACTCATCGACTGTGTTTGGTCGACTGAGGCAGAAAAAGAAATTTGTGATTGAACGTTTGAATTTATCAAATAAAAGCATGAGAGTAACTGACACATGAGCTGATTCGATCAGCTGATCTCTGGTTTTTGTCTATGGAACGATAATCGTCTGAAATATCAACTCTGAAAACATCGATTTGAATTTTACAGTGATGTGATTTTTTTTCTTGAAAATTTGAGGTTTTCAATAAAAAAATTATATTTTCACAAATTGAGATATGAACTTTGCAGATTAGTATTTTATTTCTAAGTAATATTTCACCATTGGCTCCATGTGTTGCTCCAGTTGTTCTGCAGACGGAACAATGACATTAAACTTTATATTGGAAACAGCTGTGAAAACAAATTCACTGGAGGCTGCAGTTAAAATCATACGAGAGTTTCTTTTTACTTTCACATCCAAACATGAATCTAAATGTTAACTTATTTTCAAAGTTTCATATTTCAACATTAGAGGCTGAATAGTTTAATCCATTTAATTTTAACAGATTCAAGAATGAATCATTTAAGTCACTGAACCTTATTTTTCTTCTAAACACACACATTTATCTGGATATATAGAACTGTCATGTTTATGAAGCTACATATGAAACTTTTGTTGTTTTGTATTTTAGAGTTTTCACTGTTTGATTTGAAATAAAAACATAAACATCGAAGAATCTGCATCAGCTCCGTGTTTGTTCTGTTTCAAAGTCTCTACAGTTAATTTGACTTCAGCTCGTCGGATCCAGATTCTTCTTATTTTTCTTATATTTGAATCCTGTTTTGTTTTTTCTCCTAAAAAATACAAAACCTCAGTTTGATCTCTGTGTTTATCATTATCTGATATATTTAAATCCTCAAGCACAGACGATCCTAATATTTTCCGCTCAGTGTGGATCGTGTGTATGATTCATCTTCTCAGTGTGAATAAGGTTTAACACGTCGACTGTGTGTAAATATGATGTTCGATGGTTTTCAGCCGATGATAGAAACGACGTCTCGCTCCTCAAACAACATGGAGGCTTCCACAACATGGTGGTTTCCTGGCCTCGTCTCGACTCCTCCATCCTGCGTCCTCCTCTCAGCTCCTGTGGCAGACAATAAAGAAGTCTGGGAGGTTGCTATAGAAACTGCATCCACCAGAAAAGGATGCAGCGTCTGTTCTCATCCACGCGGGGGCGCTCCTGGCTTGGAGAAGCTGCGCCTGGTTTTCATAACAAACCTCCCGAAGCCTGTGCACGTGCACGTCAACAACAGAGTGCACGTTAACGACAAAGTGCATGTGCCCCGGTGCTTGTCTTGCAGGTTCTACGTGCAGGAGCCTGATTCAAACTCAAACATGGAGTCACAGGAGACTCTGAGCCTGACTGGAAAATACATGAGGCCGAAATAACAGGTGTGCGTGTGCGTGTGCGTGTGTCAGCCTGTAGATTTGGATGGAGTTGGTCCTCACGTGCTGTGTCTCTGCTGCAGAGCGACAGGAAATCAAATGTAAACTTTAAACCTTCATAAATTACTAATTTACTAAGAGACAGGTTGAGAGTCAAAACAATAAAGTGCTACACGTGGCTACAGTTCGATCCCCTCCGGGCCAGGACGCATGAATGGAAGACGGTGTCAGGGGTGAACGTGATTCAATCCGTCCTCTGGTTCCCTGTGGTGGCAGAAGAAAGAAGCTGGACTCGAACCAGAGCGCACGGATGTTGGTGATGGCACAGACAGGTTCCCTCTGCGCGCCCCGGTGACGCGTCGTGTCGGCTCGGTCACACGTCGGTGAGCTTCCCGGTGCAGGCTTTGTGCGGGCTGCAGTTGGTGTATTTGATGGAGTCCGCGTCCTCGCTGTCCAGGTAGTCGGACTTGCACAGGGACGGTTTGCTGTCGCTCCTCCTGAACTCCCCGAACTGCGGCTGCTGCTGACCGCAGGTGACGTGCGTGTACTGCAGCTGCTCCTCGTGCTCCGTCTCCCGGTGGTAGAAGTAGTTGAAGTTGGACACGATGACCGGCACCGGCAGCGCGATGGTGAGCACGCCGGCGATGGCGCACAGGGAGCCCACGATCTTACCCCCGATGGTGACCGGACACATGTCCCCGTAGCCCACCGTGGTCATGGACACCACCGCCCACCAGAAGGCGTCCGGGATGCTGCTGAACCCCGAGTCAGGGTCGTCGGTCTCCGCGAAGTACACGGCGCTGGAGAAGAGGATGACCCCGATGAAGAGGAAGAAGATGAGGAGGCCCAGCTCCCGCATGCTGGCCTGCAGGGTCTTGCCCAGGATCTGGAGCCCCTTGGAGTGTCTGGAGAGCTTGAAGATCCTGAAGACCCGCACCAGGCGGATGACCCTCAGGATGGCCAGGGACATGGCCTGCTGCCCGTTGCCCTGGTGCTCGGCCAGCTCCAGCCCCAGGGTGATGAAGTAGGGCATGATGGCCACGATGTCGATGGTGTTCATGATGTTCTTGAAGAACGCGGGTTTGCTCGGACACGCCAGGAACCGGACGAGCAGCTCGAAAGAGAACCAGATGATGCAGAGAGTCTCCACGATGAAGAACGGGTCTGTGAACGGGTTTGGCTTCTTTACGCGCGCGGTTCCGTTCACCAGCAGGTGCTCGTCTAACGTCCGGGCCTCCTCTCTGAACTCCGGTAAAGTCTCCAGGCAGAAAATCACAATGGAGATGAGGATGACGAGCACGGACACGATGGCGATGCCCCGGGCGGGTCCGGAGCTCTCCGGGTACTCGAACAGGAGCCAGACCTGCCGCTGGAACTCGTTCTCTGGCAGCGGGCGCTCCTCCTCCTTGATGAACCCCTCATCCTCCTTGAAATTCTCAATCACCTCCTCCCCAAGTTCGTAAAATTTAATCTCCTCCATGAAAATGTCCACTGGCACGTTGACGGGTCTCCGGAGCCGCCCCCCGGACTGGTAGTAATAGAGGATGGCATCGAAGCTGGGTCGGTTCCTGTCGAAGAAGTACTCGTTCCTCAGCGGGTCGAAGAAGCGCATCCTCTTGCGCGGGTCCCCGAGCAACGTGCACGGGAACTGGGCGAGCGTCTTCAGCTGCGTCTCGAAGCGCAGCCCGGAGATGTTGATGACCACCCGCTCGCAGCACTCCTGGTTCTCGGCTCGCTCCGGGTCGTACACATCCTGGGCGGACAGCGCGGCCAGTGCCACAGTCTCATCCAGGTTCTCTCCGGGCACCACTGTCATCTTCCCCCCACCCCCCGAGACGAGGGCGACGCTCCCCGCACCTCGGTCCTCTCACGTCCCCTCCGACTCCTCCGCGCGTATTTGGGAAGCAGCCGAGCGTCTCCGCGCGTCCCCCTCTGTGTCCTCCCGGTGCCGGCGTCACGTCTGCGGATGGACCGGTTCCTCTGACATGTTCGTGCCCCCCCACCCGCACTTTTCACGCTCACCTTTCCGTCCACACGCCGCTGTCGTCTGGACTCTGCTGTCACATTCACTGCATTTTAAGCAGGCTTTGCCCTCCCCGAGCTGACGTGTGTGTGCACGCTCTCTCACTGAGGGGGGGGGACAAAAACACACATGCACGCACATATGCTCAACATGAATCCGGTCCAGATATTCAGCAACGAGCACTCACAACACAATAAATCCATTTGTGACACGATATCAGCGGTTTGGAGACAGAAACGCGTCGTGCGTAATGAGCCTGTTGTCTCCAGCGTGGCTCGGCCTCAAGGTTATCACATGTGCTGCTGTTTACGGTGACATACGAGGGGGTCTATGCGGATGTCAACATGCAGTTAAAAGGCGTAAATGCGCGTTTGGAGACGTGGAAGGTGCGAAGAATCTCACGCCAGATTTCATGCAAAAACCGAATTGTTGATCTGATGAATACCTGTGGCTCAGGGCTCCGTCATCACTTCATCCATCCGCGACTCTCTCACACTCAGGGGGAGACGTTTGTGTCGCGCTGCAGCCTTTTCAACACCAAACCTTCCTGACGTCTCCACATCAGCCCTGAACGAGCCTGAGCGGATCCACAAGTTGTGCACGACTCACAGGATCCGTGTCTGCGGCGGACACGATGTGCACGAGAATGTGTTTGCATTCATTTCCCCTTCCTGCTTTCCTGCAGGATATCAAGAGTTTAAAGCAACGTGTCAGTGGAATGGAGGCGAACACTGTGCAACAAGTAAAGAGAGGAGAGAGAGGAGCTGCAGGATGGAAATGAGGGAGAGTTTCTGGGCTGCAGCTCAGAGCAGTGACGTGTTTTCCTAAAATAGCTGGATTTCTCCCAGGGCCGCAGGAAAAGTTTCTTTTCCCATGGAATGACCCGAGGGAGCCGCAGAGGGAAGATGGAAAAACGAGGAAGAGAGAAAGAGAAGATGACATGAAGATGAAAAATCAGATTCAGTCCGAACAGAGAGTCACTGAGAGTCATTCAGAAAACAGGAACCAGAGAGAAGAGAAAGAAAAGTTCACCTGATCAGGACAAACAACATGTTTCACTGGAAACAAGAACATGAGCTTCAGAGAGTTGGGTTGAAATGCAACAAAACTTCAGCTGAAAGTTTTTCTGATTCACAAATTGAGGGAAAACTTTGAAGAATATGTTCCACACATGTATTTTAAAATGTTATCATGAGAACTCGTTCAGACTTTGGCACAGAACATGTGAGGACACTGTTTAACAGAACGCTGCTCGAGAGGCGTTGACACTTTATAATAATAATGCACATGTACTTTACATCTCCTGAAAATAAAACTCATAATAATAATGTATTTTATTCATGAACACATTTCAAAACACACACGAATACTTTGCAAGATAAGATCTAATACATGAAACCTTAGAAACAAGGAGCAGATAAAGTTTAGTGTCCGTGATGCAACAGGAGACGAAGCAGAACATCCAGAGGTTGTTGAGACGCCTCGTCCCCCATGAAGAGCTGAGCAGAGGGACATGAAGAAGAAGGAGGCGAGCAGGAGGCGACTGGACAGGTGAGGAGGCGTCGAACCAAAGTAAACAGTGAATTCAAACGAACGAGGAGTTGAACTGGGAACCAGAGCAGCTGCTGAAGACTCCAGGTGATTAACACCAGGACATAAAGTCATCAAGAGTCTCCAGGGACAGGGACGAGTAGAAGACAGTTGTTTGTGATGTGCACACTTCTATAACTCACTGACATCACTCTCATGAAGGGAGCGACATGAATCCAGATGTTTTTGATCAAACCAAAGTTATCGAACAGTAACACAGGTCATCAGCTAACACTCGTTCTCTCTAAACCTACAGGTTTGTCTGCTGCTCACTGTTAAATAAAGTTTCACTTCTTTGTTTCCTTCGTCAGTTTCTGTTGATGAAAATAACGTGAAGTTAAAAATCCTCAGCTCCGCCTCCTCGTCCAATCACAGAGCTCTTTAAACAGCCACAGGGGCAGAGAAGGGACAAGACCTCATTATCACATGATGCAACTTTTCCACTTCCAATATGAGCGTCTCGCACACACACACACACACACACACACACACACACACACACACACACAC